ATTTTTTCATTATTGAGAAATGTTTTACTTTTCTTTTCATTAATATCTTGATCTTTCCCCTCCATATCTTCCCTTTCTTTGCTTAAGCCTATTTCTTCTCTTTTTCTTCACTTTTCCTGCCTCCTTCACATATCTCTTTCACTGACTATTTCCCCCACTTACCATAAATAATGTCTAATTTCATAGCATGTTCTACAGTGGCTTTGTCTATTTCTGTTTTATGGTGATTGGTGCTCAGCATGTATTTCTGTCTTGAGAGGTGTGATATTACTCTTACAATGGCATGGGACATGCATGTGCAAGGAACCCTGACTCCTCCAGGAGACTCCATCTCCTCAACTACTAAACTCAGAGATACTGACACATGTGAAATAATGGAGACTTAATTTTTAGAGTTTACTGGTTAAAAAAATGATTACTAACTTGGATGGAGGAGTATGCAAAGAAGCAGGTGAATTCAGGCCCGGATCTGGAGAGAAAACTCAACAACAGAAGAAAAAGTTTAAAAAAAATGACTAAGAGCGTAAGCAGTTGGATAAAAAAAGTTACCAACATGACAGAAAACCAGCAAAGAAGCTGAGATTAAAAAAAAAAAACAGAAATTCTGGCAATGAAAAAGCCAGTGAATCAAAGTAAAACTGTTAAACAGCATCACAGAGGAAAGAGGATCAGAAACACAACACTATACTCAGACACCACTAAGGAAAACATTAATACAACCACAAGACAAGTGGCATACAGTCAAGACGATGAACCTAATATCCATGAGCAAAAGAAGGAGCTGAGATAAAGAACAAAAGCACAGGGAATCAATTCAATAAAATAATAATAGAAAACTCCCTCAGAATCCAGAGAGAGAAATTTGCATCTAAATACAAGAGGGACTGAGAGCTCCAAATAGCCACGAATAGACTAGAAATTTTCCATAACATACTACAGTAAAGATGTCAAGAACACACAGGAAAAAATATGTTAAAGGCTGTAAGGAAAAGGCATGAATTCAAGCACAAAGGCAAACTTCAGAATAGCATCAGAGCCTTCATCAGTAACCTTGGAAGCCAGGAAAACATAATACAAGCCCTGAAAGAAAGTAACTTTCAACCATGGTTACTAAATCCAGGAAAACTTTCTTTTAATATTGGTGGAGGAATAAGGACATTTAAAAAAAAGCATACATTAAGGCAGTTTGTATTTATGCATAATAACACAAACATATGAATTATAGCATCCTGAACTACCGAATAATACTTCCAAACTTTCCATTCCCATTAAAAAATTAAATGTAAACATTTTTCTCTGGCCCATGAGTCTCTCAGTGGTTTCTCATGGCCTCATTTTTTAATTTCTTGAAGTTCCTGGAATCTGTGCATTTGCTGTGTGTGTCTGGGAGCCTTTTCTCCCCTGCTTGCATCAGTGGGTCCTTTGCCATTCTCCCTCAGACATCACTAGCTGTGTTTGGATTTTCTCATTAGGCTGCTTAAACTGGCACTGCAGCTACATTCTAGCCATCATGTGAATCCATTGGTTCGTTTCTTCCACACCGTGTTTACCATGCTCTGGGTTTATTTAATGTTTAAGATTCATTTTATTTTTATTTATGTATGTGTATGCATGTTTGTGTGCATGTACACGTGTGTGTTGGCTAGATTTATGTCAACTTGACACGAGCTAAAGTCATCTGAGAGAAGCAAACCTCAACTGAGAAAATGCTTCCAGAAGATGGGGCTGTAGAAAGCCAGTAGAGCATTTCCTTAATTAGTTACTGATGGGCAAGGGCCCAGACCATTGTGGGTGGTGCCAACCCTTGACTGATGGTCCTGGATTCTATAATCAAGCAGGCTGAGAAATCCATGGGGAGGGCGCGAGTATGCAGGACACCTCAACCGCCTCTGCATCGCCTTCTGCCTGGAAGTTCCTGCCCTCTTTGAGCTCCTGTCCTGACTTCCTTCAGTGACGGACTATAATGTAGACGTGTAGAAGCCCAAAAAACCCTTTCCTCCCCAGGTCGCTTTTTGGTCATGGTGTTTCTTGGCACCAATAAAAACCCTATGGCAACATGTGTCTATGGATGTGTCCCCACAGCTACCAGAAGAGGGCGTAGGATCCTCTGAAGCTGGAACTAAAGGCAGCTGGGAGCTGCCTGAAGTGGGTGCTGTAAGTGAATGCCATCCCTCTGCAAAGCAGCGAGTATGTAAACTGCTGAGCCATCTCTTCACCCTGGCATTTTCTGTGTTTATAAGTTGGCTTATTCTCACTCTTTTTTTTTCACTGAAGTCTAAAATTCATGAAAAAACATTTTACTCATTAGCTTATTTTCAGTATTTAATATAAATTGAAAGAGCCTATTTTATATCTTTGGCTATAAAAATTATGTGTGTATTTTAAATAGTCATGTCATTTACTCCACATATTTCTAAAATAATAATAATAATAAATAATAGGAATGCCCATTATTTACCATAAAACATTTATATGTAAAGTGAAGGGATGTTGGATGCAATGTTACTTATTTGTATTTTCAATTTTGTATTCTTTTTTAATTAATAAATTTCATTCTTTGGTAATTTCAAACGTGTATATAATAAACTATGGTTACTCTTTCTCAACATAATTTACCACCCCCCAATCCTGACCAGCCTTTATTCTTCCTTACAAATCCCCTTCCCATTTTTATAAGTTTTTGTTTTGTTTTGTGTCCCATAGGGTTATCTGTGTTACCCTGAGTTTGGAACTAACCAGTCATCAGAGCCTGGTGGGCTAACGTGAAATTTCAAAATAAACTTAGGACCAATATTTAAGAATGGGACAACATGTTGTATTTCTCTCACTATAATCATTATATAAAAGTGTGCCATTGCTTACTTTAAGGTAGACATTTCAGGATGGACAGAATCCTTGAAAATTAGTTGTGTTGATATGAATTGAACAATTCAATATTCACTTGAGGCTGTGATCATGTTCCCTGTTGGATTTGAATTTACTTTTGAATTTCTGGCATCTTCAGAGACCTATCCTCAGTCAAACATTATAAAAGACACCATAGCTGCCATGTAATAATAATAACTGTAAGATGAATGAATTCTTTATTCAAGAGGTAAGATTTGAGCTTTTGTAAATTAATTTTGTTTGTTTCCATGTACCACTGAGGAGAACTATTCCTTCAAATAATATCTTCATCTAAAAACCTTCCTTTAGCAACAGTGCATATATAACAAGCCAGTAGGTAATAAAATAACTTAAGCTTGGGTAAATTAATTTCATCTGTAGAATACACATGGTCAAACCAGCATCACCAGTTTATGATCCCTAAGACCAGAAATCCGTGGTCTCTTACTGTATAAATTTAGCAAGCACTCCAACATAAGGCTAAAACAGTGAATAATTTTTAAGCACTTAGAATTTACCTTTAGGAAGTTTCTTTTAGAGCAACTTACTTAATTTATTGATTATATAGATGCTCTAGCATCCCGGACACCAGAGAGTTTGGTCAAAGAAAGGAAATAAAGCCAAATTGTGGCGAGGTGGAAGTGGGGTGGGGTGGCAGAAATGAGATTCAATTTGGCCTCTAGGCGAGTAAGCCTGAGTATGCTTCTTAACATTTTTAAAAGATTTGTTTTTATTTTATGTGTTTATGTAAGTGCCTTTTTACATATATGTGGAACTACATGCGTGTCTGGTGCCTAAGAAGGCCAAAGGAGGGACCTCGGACCCCTAGAACTAGAGTTACAAGGAGTGGTAAGACATGCAATGTGGGTGTGGGAAATAACCCAGGTCCTCTACAAAAACAACAGTGCTCTTAACCAGTCCCACTTCTTAACTTGAGAGGCTGGGAGTTTAATCATCTGCATACCATGTTAAAAATCGTATTCAATTCCACCATACTTAATTAAAACATTGTTACGGTAAGAAAGGATTTGGTGTGTTTGAATAAAACCTAATAACTGTATTTGAAATATTAGTTTGTATGATATTTAAGATGATTTAAGAAAGCTATGGCTGAGTTGGAAATATTGAAGTATTTTTTTAATTTTAAATTGACTTCATTTGTAGCTTTGAATTTCTCTCTATATCTTCCTTGTTCTATGAAAGATATCTGACTTCTCAGTTTAAAATTTGTTCTAAGACCTACTCTTCCTTAACCAGTGGGCACTGTAAACTAGATAGCAAAGGAGGCACCCTGTGCTATTGCATTGGAAAGCTGAAGACTTAACCAGCTGCATCATTGTTGACCAGCATCATTGTGATTACAAATTTACAAACTGGTATGATGATTACATTGACAATATAATTACAGAAGTAATGAAATGAGTTCAACTTGCCTACATCTGATATCCTGACCCCAATCTACTTCCTATGTAAATTGATGTGAGTAACTTAATATTTTCAACCTCAGTTTCCTTGTCTATAAAATAGAAACAATACTTAACATTATCCCCTGGAAATTAAAATATATCTACAAATGAATTTTAATTTCAAGGCTGGTAATTTAGTAAGCACTCAGGAAGCGTTGCTGCTTTCTCTAATCTTTATCACGTAACCCTAGACTTACATGCTGTAATCATTTTGTTATACTTATGTTTCCTTTTAAAACCTTGTCTTTAAAGCCTTTTGAGCACATTTAATATTATTTAATTATATATAACATTACATATTTTATATAAATACCACTTAAGGAAATAGTTTCCTACAAAGCTGTGTCTACAGAGTACACTTGAAACAAATTGTCTGGTGTTGCTATTAAAAACAGTTTTTGAAATATGGGAAGGTTGGTTTATTGCAAATAAATGTGTAAAATCTAAAACTGTGGAGTCAAGTAACAATTAAACATAGAAAAATCCATTTAAATATTTCTTCAATGAGTTTTCATGATTTTTTCTTAAATGACATATTTTTCTAATAGCATTCACATATGAGTTAATGAAAATGATGCTTCATATTTATAAATCCCTTCCTGTAATGTCCCCATCACAGCCTTGTTCTGACAGCAACTACACCATTCCATGGCTTTCCTGGAGGATGGGAACCACACTGCAGTGACAGAGTTCATTTTATTGGGTTTAACAAATGACCCTGTCCTTAAAGTAGTCCTCTTCACCATCATCCTGTGCATCTACCTGGTGACTGTGTCTGGGAACCTCAGCACCATCCTCCTCATCAGAGTCTCTTCCCAGCTCCATCACCCCATGTACTTTTTTCTCAGTCACTTGGCTTCTACTGACATAGGCTACTCATCTTCTGTCACACCCAATATGCTTATCAACTTCCTGGTGGAGAGAAATACAATCTCCTTCCTTGGGTGTACCATCCAGCTTGGCTCAGGGGCTTTCTTTGGAACACTTGAATGCTTCCTTCTAGCCACCATGGCTTATGATCGTTTTGTAGCAATCTGTAGCCCACTGCTTTATTCAACCAAAATGTCCACACGAGTCTGTGTCCAGTTGCTTGTAGGATCTTACATTGGTGGTTTTCTTAATGCTTCCTCCTTTCTTCTTTCCTTCTTTTCTCTTCTCTTCTGTGGACCAAATAGAGTCAATCACTTTTTCTGTGATTTAGCTCCTTTAGTAGAACTCTCCTGTTCTAGTGGCAGAGTGCCCATAGTTCCTGCCTCATTCTGCTCTGCCTTTGTCATTATAGTCACAGTGTTTGTCATAGCCATCTCCTACACCTACATCCTCATCACCATCCTGAAGATGCGCTCCACTGAGGGCCGCCACAAGGCCTTCTCCACCTGCACCTCCCACCTCACTGCAGTCACTCTGTTCTATGGCACCATCACGTTTATTTATGCAATGCCCAAATCAAGCTACTCCACAGACCAGAACAAGGTGGTGTCTGTGTTCTACATGGTGGTGATCCCAATGTTGAACCCCCTCATCTACAGCCTTAGGAATAATGAGATTAAGGGTGCTCTGAAGAGAGAAATTGGCAGGAAAATATTCTCCTAAATGATGTCTGTTATAGTGTAGGATTTAATATAGTAATAACATCATACAGACATAACAATAAGAAAAAAATACCTGTGAATGAAATATATGTTCTGATATATATAACTTGGAAGCTTTCTAATAACTGTAGAAGGTAGATGTTCATATATTAAGTAACAAATATTTTCATAGTGTTATATTTGATAAATTTAAATAGATTTGTAATTAATACAATATTTTTATAAAAAGTAATTTCCTAAAAATTATTTTTCATTTCAGTATTTTTCAAAAGTAGTTATCTACTATAGTCACAGAATATGCAAATGATTAAGGGTGTCTGGATCATGCATGATAAGATGAGTCACATTTCCAGGGATACATTTTGAGAGAAAATTACAAATAAAAATCCTGGAGTTGTTTTCAGATTTATTTTATAAGTGTTTTTCCTGCATCCTGGAGTTGTTCTTCCTAGAGTATTAGTGACTGCTGGGAATGGGGTTTGTGGACTCATGACATTCTGGTCTGGGTCCCTGGTCTCTCACTTGGGATAAGAAACAGGCTTCTCACAGAAAAAAAGGGGGGGATGACAGATCCCTGCTGAACCCAGTCTCCTGAAAAGCTTTCATTTTTTTCCTGCGGTGCTGGGAATGAAGCCCAGTGCCTGGTACTTGGTCCCTAAGATCTGCATTACTCAGCCATATCCCCAGCTCCTCCTGAGACTCTTAATTCATTTGGGTTCATTGATGACCACCACATTTATCATTCTCCATCCTCTCTTTCACTCCTAGCTCGGCCTTCTCTAGGAAGGGACTCTGCAGTTCAATCCTTTTATGGATTAGAATAATTTATTCGTCTTTCTTCTCTGCAGTCCTATATTTGGTTATAAAATTTTGCATGTTTGGAAGGCAAGATTTGTTTACTTCTGTCTTCATTGTCAATGCCTCTGCTCCAGGCTGACCCCTTTCACCGTCAGGTTATTCATAAACAGTGCCACTGAAGTGGTTAACTTTCACTGTCAACTTGATAAGGGTGTGGTGCCTAGTTGTTTGGTCAGACGCCAGTCCAAATGTACCTTTGATGCTATTTTTTAAAGACATGCTTGGCATTTAGACTGACAGTAACCAAAAGAAAATTTCTAATATAGATAGCTCTTGTCTAATCAGTTAAAGGCCTTAAGAGAAAGCCCGAGTTCCTCTGAAGAGGAAAGCTCTTGGAACTCTAGACCTCTAGACTGCTGTTTCAACTCTTGCCAGTATTTTCAAGCTGAATGCCTACTTAACAGATTTTGCACTTGAATTTCTATATAATTTGAGAAAATCTTATATACATACACATATATAAATATATATAGAACATCCTTATAATATGTATAATTAAAATGAAATCGTGCACATAAAATTTGGAATAAATATATTAACATTTTATAAATATGTATATAAGTGTGTAAATGTGGATTTCCATGTATTTTGTGTATATATGCATAACCTGTTGTTTTGGGGGAAGCGTAATGAATATAATCCACAATGAATTTTCCTATCCCTCCATCTTCCAAGTCATTCTGCATATAACCCAAATAGCCATATATCCAAATACATTACTTTCTTCATAAAAGCTTTAAAGACTCTAGCCTCTATCTAGAAAAGGGTTCATGGGACTTGGGATAAATGAGACGTTAAGGGAATGGGATGGTAAAGAACAAACTTGAAGGAAGAATATTGAGGCCCAAAGGGTACAACGGGGTAGGGGGAGGCAAGGAGATATAGGAGGACAGAGAAATAACCAATATGAAATACGTATGAAAACCTGTTAGCTTGTTAATATTATTTTAAAAATAAAAATAAAATATTTTTGTTGTAAGCCTAGCCTTTAAAGGCTGACTCATCTCTCCAGCCCCAAATTAAATATTTCTAAAGACTTCAGATGTAGCCTTTTCTTCTCTTTATTGTGGTTTTCCTTTTCTTTCAAAATTTTGATCATGCCCATACTCTTCTGCCTCAATGCTGTCTCACACAACCCCTACTTGCAATACCCTTTTCCCTTCACCAGTGCAGCACCTATTTAATGTTGCAGACACCAAGACAGTCTTTGTTAATTCACTTCTAAAGAACTTTACTGAATCTTAAAACCTGAGGTCACCCCTGTACCCACATAGGACACTGTATATTTTTTTCAGTCCACTAGTAATTTTAGGGTTCAAATTTCACCTGTGAATGCTGAAAACTTCTTGTAGATAGTCGTGTTCCAATGCATAATTTTCACTTGGATCATAGAACACAATAAACTTAAATGCAAATTTTATATGAATGAAATAAAATACAAACTAATCAGTAGATGAATGGAAGCTTCAGTTTATTTGAACTGCTGGTGCCATATTTTGACAGCGGCTGTAGCTGAAGCACAGACAGCAAATGTCAGGGTCACAAACACAACTGTAAAACTGTGAATCCTTGTTTTGAAATTAGAGAAAATGTTTAATATATCATGTTAATATAGTCAACTTTTAAGTTTTTAAAATCAAAATAGAACGTGCTGGATACCATTGTGACATTTTCTAACAAAATGTTGTTTTGAGATTCTTTTTGTCCTATATCTTCCGCTCCTTGCTATTCCTGTTGCCCCACTGATTCTCTTGTTCTTTTGTGCCCATCTGTCTTTTTCAAACTTTTCCTTCCTCATCTCCTGAGCTGAACAACTTAAGAATATCTCACCACTAGGAGGCTCTGTTACAAAGTTCTTTCTAGCAATCCCTTTTATTTCCAAGTAAGCACAGAGTTGCTCATGTATCAATGTATTCTATCGTATAGACTTAGTGCAAGAGGCCTAAAACAGAGTTGAGGTAATATCTATGTCAAACAATCCCTTGGAACTTCCTAATTCTGAGGGAATTCATAATTTCTGGTATCATATAACTGCTGTGAAAATTTAAGTGGAAAAACAAATTCTCTAGATTCAATTAACGGTCCCTTATCTTCTAAGCACAATCTCTGTCGGTTAGCTACTTACTTATATGGAGCCTCGGGTACTTATTTTTAAATTAAAACTAATATGGCCTCCTCACTGTGTTGTTTTATTGGATAAACTAATGAAAGTAACATGCTAAGGATGAGCTCTGACACCTTGTAAATACAGATTATTATTTGCTAAATAAACTAAGTAAAGGAGGAGTGGATGGCATCTGGAGAAGGTCAATAACAGTAATTACAACAATTTCAGATAGGTAGATGATAGATACAAGGATACATAGAATACATATGTACATCTATGCATACATAGATGATAAAAGAGAGAGAGAGAGAGGAAGGAAGGAAGGAATGAATGAAGGAAGGAATGAACAAAGAAAGAAAGAACAAAAGAAAGGAAGGAAGGGATAAATGATACAACAGATCTCATTGCCTCCCAAAAAGTAGATTACATGTGTTTGAAACTAAAAATTACAGTTGATTGGTGGTGGCACACACCTTTAATCTCAGCACTCAGGAGGCAGAGGCAGGTAGATCTCAGTGAGTTCTAGGCCAGCCTGGTCTACGGAACAAAATTCAAGGGCATCCAGGGATAAACAGAGAAACCGTATCTCAAAGAAAAGTGAGAATCACAACAAAGTATGTTCTTAATTTAAATAACCACATACATATCAATTGGCAGATCCTAAGGATGATACTAGTATATGAAAACTTTAAATGTTATCTTCAATTGAAAGAACATATCCTATGAATATATTCTAACAGTTGCCTCCCTTAAAACTTCTTTACATCTTTGTTCCTCCGGCTGTAGGGTGGTTGATTCAACATGGGGATCATTGCTATATAGAACTCAGACACCTTGTTCTGATCCATGGAGTAGCTGGGTTTGAACAACAGAAATGAAGGCAGTCAATTAATAGTAGAAAATGATGGAAGTGAGGAGAGAAGTCCATCTGGAGAAATCCTTGTGTTACTTTTCTGTGAATCATGTCATCAAGGTGGTGATAAAGATGTAGACTGAAGAGGAAGAAATGACATGCTGTCCACAATGTTAGAGCCAGAAGAGGTGGAGGAGATAATTTCAGTAATGGGTACACTAGAACAGGAATGTCTCAATGAAGAAAAGAAGTCCAGAGTAAATGAGGTATCTGATTGAGTCCACAGAACAGATTCAATATGACAATAGCAACTTTCTAAACATTCACACAACCACCCACATAGGAAACCTTGGGATACAGACTCTGTAGGATATTTGATAGAGTACAGGTGAGCAGACAACCACTGGAGCAATTGTAGGCCATGGCAGGGAGCAGGAAGCACTTAGATGACAACCCAAACATCACAAGGAACAGAGTTGGGTTTTCAAATTACAGAAAATGTTAAAACTGAGAAAATCAAAGTACTTTTATTAAAAATAATGGTGTAAGAGGTTGTGGAGAAAGGGGAACACTCCTCCACTGCTGGTGGGAGTGCAAACTCATACAGCCACTTTAGAAATCAGTATGGAGATTCCTCAGAAAAATGGGAATAAGCCTACCACAAGACCCAGAAATTCCACTCTTAGGCATATATCCAAAAGATGTACATTCATACAACAAGGACATCTGTTCCACTACGTTCATGGCAGCATTATTTGTAATAGCCAGAACTTGGAAGCAACCTAGATACCCCTCAGCTGAAGAGTGGATAGAGAAAATGTGGTACATTTACATAATGGAGTACTATTCAGCAGAAAAAAACAATGGAATCCTGAAATTTTCAGGCAAATGGATGGCACTAGAAGAAACTATCCTGAGTGAAGTAACCCAGTCACAAAAAGACAAACATGGTATGTACTCACTCGTATATAGATTTTAGACATAGATCAGGGGAGTGACAGCCTACAATCCCACTGCCAGAGAGTGTGGGGAAGAGAACCTTCATCTAATGACTGATGGAAGCGGAGGCAGACTCCCACAGCTAAACACTGAGCTGAACTCAAGGAACCCAGTGACAGAGAGGGAGGATTGATGAGCAAAGGGGTTAAGACTGGGCTGGTTTAACCCCCAGAAACAGCTGACC